GGAGAGACAATGGAGAGGCTCAGTAATCAGTCAAAATAAGGGCAAGGGTTGACTGTTAAAAAGAACATCATTTGCTGCTATGCAAGCTCATGTTGAAGTTAAAGAATTTTAAAACAAGTCTATGAGAGTCAAAGTATCACTTTGAATATATCCAACCTGAATTTAGAGACCATTAGTGCATTAGACGCTACTTACTAAAGATCAGAAGAGTTGTGTGGTGGTATCAAGAACATCATACATGAAGAAAACAAAAGGTCATTAAAAAAGCATGGAAGAAACATAATGGAAAAATTGATTTCAAACGAGGCTCTGAAACCTGCTTTTAAGCATATAGAGGCTAACACAATAGCTAATGAAGGAATGCAGAAATAAAAGCGTTGAACAGAAATTTCAAAGAGCAGCTCAGAAAGACAAATTAAAGTATTATAATGAAATGTACAAAGACCTGAATTTAGAAAACTAATAAGGAAAACATCCTTAGCATGTCTTAAGCTGAAAGAACTGAAGAAAAAAAGTCAAACATTGGGTTGTGGGTAAAATAAGGAACTCTGGTAGCACAGTGTTTATGAATCAGGCTGCTAATCTCACGGTCAGCAGTTCGAAACTACCAGCTGTTCCATGAGAGAAAGATGAGGCTTTCTGCTCCCATAAAGATTTATAGCCCCAGAAACCCTGTACAGGGTCGCTATGATTTGGAACTGAATCCAGGACACATAACAACATCAATATCATGAGTAAATATTGAATGATGTAGAAAGTTTCAAAAGAGGTAAGGAATACACAGAGCCACCATACCAAAAATCATTGGTCAATGTTCAACCATTTCAAAATCAAGAACAGATGGTATTGAAGGAAGAAGTCCAAGCTGCACTGAAGACATTGGTGAAAAGGAAGGCTACAATGAATTGATGGAATAGAAACAGAGATGTCAACAAACTGATGCAGCACTGGAGGCACTCACTAATCTATGCCAAGAAATTTAGAAGACAACTACCAGGCAAAACAATTAGAAGAAATCCATATTTGTGCCCGTTCCAAAGAAAGGTGACATAATGCAGAAATTATTTAACAATATCATTAATGTCACATGCAAGTAAAATTTTGTTGAAGATTATTAAAAAACAGGTGCAGCAGTATATCAGGGGAAAGCTGATACAAATTCAAGCCAGATTCAGAAGGGGGTGTACGATGAGGGATATCAATGTTGATGACAAATGAATCTTGTCTAAAAGCAGAGAATATCAGAAATATGTTTAATTAATCTTTATTGGCTATGCAAAGGGATTCACTTTTGTGGATCCTAGAAAGATATGGGAAACATTGTAAAGAAAGGGTATTGCAGAAAATGTTAGTGCATCTGTACTAGATGAAGACGCATCACTGGAACAGAATGAGAGGATACTGAATGATTTAACATCATGAAATGTGTGTACCAGGGTTTTATCCTTCTACCATATTTATTCAAGTTTATGCTAAACAAATAATCTGAGAAACTGAATTATATGAAGAAGAACATGGCATCAGGACTAGATGACGACTCATTAACAACCTGTGATATGTAGATCACACAACCTTATTCACTGGAAGCAAAGGGGACTTGAAGTACTTGATGAAGAGCTAAGACTACAGCTTTCATTATGAATGTAAAGAAAATTAAAAACCTCACAACTGGACCAGTAAAAAATAGCTTGATTTTAAGCAGAAAAAGGATTGAATTCATCAAAGGCTTCATTTTGCTTGCATCCAAAATCAACATTCATCAAAGCAATAGTGTGGAGATCAGAGGATATATGCTGCATTTGGCAAATCTGCTGCAAAAGTCCTGTTTAAATTTTTTAAAAGCAAAGATGCTACTTTGAGGACCAAGGTACACCTGACCCAAACCATGGTATCTTCAGTTGCCTCATATACATATGAATGTTGGACAATGAATAATGAAGACAATAAAATAATTGATGTATTTAAATTGTGGTGTTGAAGAAAAAATAATTTAAGTACTATGGACTTTCAGAAGAAATAAATCATTTTGAATGGAGGAAGTACAGCCAGAATGTTTCTTAGAAGGAAGAATGGCTAGTCTTTCATACATTGGACATGTAGTCAGGAGGAAGGACCAGTCCTTGAACAATTAAATCATACTTGGAAAAGTAGAGGGTAAATGAAAAAAAAAAAAAAAAGGAATAGCACAGTGGTAGCAACAATTTTCTCAAACACAGCAACAATTGTGAGGTTGGCACAGGTCTAGGCAGTGTTTCATTCTGTTGTGCATAAGGTTTCTATAAGTAGGAACTGATTCGGTAGCACCTAATACAACACCAACAAGTGGTAAATGAAAATTGTGCTTAATTGTGAGAGATATTTAGCAAATGTGACCAGTGTCTAATGATTTGGATTTTAAACTGATGAGATTAAGATTTTTTTGCTCCATATCTTGAAATTACTGCCAATAACATTATTTAAAACAACAACAACAACAAAAACACACATATGACAGAAATCTGTAATAGACTATTAAAGTCATATTGGCTACTGAATATATTAACCTCGTAAAGCTTGATTTTTTACAAAAAATACGTAAAGATTTTTTTTTTTTCCTCAATGCAGGTATTGTTCCATGGACTTTTGCTCCAGGTTATGATTCAGTGAACCAGAGCTTCATTTATTCTAGTGGCTACCACTTTTTAAATTTTCAGGTCTGAAAATCACCTGTGTGGCACTGTAGGATAAGCTCTGGACTGCTAACTGCAAGATTGGCACTTCAAACCACCAGCCACTTCATGGAAATCCTACAGATTGAGAATTCTGCTTTCCCTTCCAAATCCATTAAATTAAATAGACTCATTTTAGAATTTACAATGCATATTTTGAGGGAACAAAATTTGATCCACAACATTCTCCAAAGAGCCAACCAGAGATATCAAAAGTCAATGTGTCCAACTCAATGTCCAGGGTCTTTATATATGCAGGCTCTTCTTTATCAGATCTACATGTATTAGTCCAGGGACAAATGAGCCAAAAAGACAAGTTATTAATGAGTCTAAGGATCCCGTACTCAATACAGAGTCATAGATCAAAGACAGGTGAAATACAAAAAACTCTCCTCTTTGGAAATAAAGAAACAATGGAAAATGCAGAGTAGGCATTAATCCATAGCAATTATGAAATCATGCCAGCTGGCATTAGTGGTCCCTCTACTTTAACTAAAATCATAATTCCCAGAAGAAACTCTGATACTCCTCTGTACTTTTCTTTTGTGATTTCAAGTTCTACCCTCTGAAGAGTTTAAAGTTAATAGTCATACTCTATGGAAATGTGGGGAGTATTTTCTTACATAATATAAACATAAAAATGTAAAGAAACTTTACCAAAGTCATAAAGTGAGAAGCAAGTAGTTTATGAATGGGTATAAACAATTTGTGAATTCAGAATTTTGCATGCAATTTCTGTCACTTGGAAATGTTTCTCACTGTTTCAATGGGTTTTGGGGAATATGCTTTTCATGAAACTAACTCAGTTTTTACAGCCTACATTTTACTTTTACTGGATTTAGCAATCTGGTTATTATTTCAGGTTTCAAACAAATTTTTTTTTTTTTTTTTTAACGTCTAGACAGGTGCTCCTTTGCCACTACAATTTTATTAAAAACTCTATTGACTCATCAATTTTCAGATTAATGTGTAAAAACACTCCAAGTTTTTTTGAAGACATAATTGTCATATATAATTTATTTTTTCATTTCTTCATTCATTTAATCTCTCTTAAATTTTTTAACAACTACAATGAGGCTATGTAAATCCAATGAATTTGGAAGAGAAAGCAGACAGAACTTTCAATTTGATCTTTGCCTTAAGACAGAGCCTTAATGATTTTTTTTGTACAAGGTATTGCTTGTTTTCTCTCTTAGCATGTGTTTTGCATAAATAAATTTCCAAACTCTTGACTATTCAAATTTTAATAGGTGCTTAGAAATCAGCCATCCTATACTGAACACTCCTCTTTCATACAATATGTTACTAAAGGCAAAATACGAATTTATAATATATATGTCTTTTTCCAGCTACTTCCTCTAGAACTAGAAGCTAAAAACCACTTAATAGTCAATATTGAGTCAAAATCTTTTTTTCCATATGAACAACATTCAATAACCATTAGCAACCCTCCCCATACGTATAAATTCTGTATATACTGTAGTGTATTCACTAGGCTCTATTCCTGCTTCACTGTTCGTTCTCTCCTTTTCAGTGTGATTTGCTGAAATTGTTTCCAGTGTTTTGGCTTTAAACATGACAATTTCTTAAGGATCAATTCTCAATTGTCTTCTTCACTGTCTATACGCACTCTCTTGGGAATTCCATCCATTTCCATTGCTTGATATAATATTTATATACTTTCAAATCCTAAATTGTTATCTTTAGTTCCTGCCTTTCCCATAACTCAATTTTATTTATTTATTTTAAATTATGTAGTTGTGCTTGTCAGACAACCTCATGTTGTTAAAATTTAAGACAAATTTTAAAAACTGAGAAAGGGAAGAAGTAAATTATAACTGGCAAATGTCTTCAACAAAATTTTGAGTGTTGTTTCACATGAATCTGACAAATAGATTAAGAGCCAATTAGGTTTTTAATAAAATTGTAGTGCCAAAGGAGCACTTGTGCTGACATTACTAGTATTATGATGATGATGATGGTCTGAGGTTAAAGGGCAGGAAAAACAAATTGTTATATAAAATCACATGCATATATATATATATATATTTATACAATCTTTCCTTTGACATTTAAGCTCCATCGCTGTAGTCACTGAGGTGTCAAATGTTATGTTTCCAGGTATCCTTTAAGTTAAAGGCATACAATAAATATTTGGTAAAATATACAGCATAATACATATTAATGTAATTGTATTTCTGTTATAATTTTCAAAATAACTCATTATAATGCAGGTACATACTTTGTGACTACATGGAACACTAACTAGAACAATATTTCTGTATTTTCTAGATCCCAATGCTCTGGCTGGCCAAACCGGCCCTGACCATGCTCTTATAGGAGGAATAGTGGCTGTAGTTGTATTTGTTACACTGTGTTCTATATTCCTGCTTGGTCGATACTTGGCAAGACATAAAGGTAGGTTATATTTAATGAAAAACCTAATATTAGCAGCAACAGTGTCTCAACTTTTGTTGCATCAAGAAACACTATAATTGCATGTGTGTGCAAAAGAGGGAAATTTATCTAAATTCTACATTTCAGGGAGTTCTTGATATTTTAATTTTGTTGTAAAGTTGGAGTGACCTAAGCAAAATAATTCTATTCAGTGGATTTGGTCACAGAGTGAGCAGCTGACTATGAAACATGACAAGCGAGTTTGTCATTTATCTGTAGAACTGAAATCTAACTGTAAAACATCTGTCCCTTCTGCATTAAGCACTTTATCATTGTTTTATTTGGAGGTTTATAGTCGCACATGTGGCCATATTAGTGTGGAAACTGTGCGATGTATTTAAATATGCCAGGTAGCAAACTATTGATATAATCCACTTTTAAATGAAGTTACTGTAATGTATGACGACAAATCCTCAGCAATCATTATCACCATTCTAACAAAGGACACTGATTGCTACAGTGGTATGGATCACGTGGTCAATATTCACCATTAAACAAATCAAAATTACTTATTACTCATTTCAGTTTGATTCTTACCTCTAGTTAACTTGGCCACCACTAAACGTACAACACATATCTGAAAATTGAAAGTGTGCAATTTTGGAAGGATGCACTTTGTAATTTTTTATGCCTTAAAATGTTCTTCAAAATATAAGAAAATCAGGCATAAATGCCTTCCTAAATATTGCAGTTTTAATGTGCTTGTTGTAGTAATCTCACAGATCTAACATGTCTTTCTTACAATATCTACAGGAACATATTTAACAAATGAAGCTAAAGGAGCTGAAGATGCACCGGATGCCGATACAGCCATTATCAATGCTGAAGGCAGCCAAGTGAATGCTGAAGAGAAAAAAGAGTATTTCATTTAAATGCAGGCCAAGATTCTGAGTTTTACTTATCAGGCTGGCTGCTGGAGAAAACTGGCTATCATCTTTCAGAATTCATTTCTACCATCTTCTGCTACCTTTATTAACGTCCATACTGTACTGCTATCAGTAGCCAGGGTATACCAACAATCAGCTGTCAAAGCATCATTCTTTAATTACCGTACCATCCATACTGCAGGACATTTCTTACTGCCTAAATTTCACACCATTGCTCTTTTAACATACAGTGCTTGAATATACAGCCTTAACAATGTTAATCATCTCCTTGGATCATAATTTTGAATTGTTTCTATACATTGAAAAAAAAAATGATGGGTTTTTTGTTTTGTTTTGTTTTTCTTTCCTATTTTTTTTCCCTTTAAATCATAAAGTTTATCAATTTGTCATTGGACAACTTTGACAAGAAACAAGATTAGGTAAAGATCTAATATGCTTAAATTAATCGTAGACTAGAGGTTTACAAACAATGTTTTCTACATCTTTCTTCAAAGAAAGGAGCACTGGTGCTTAAAGTACTTGTCTGCTTACCAAACAGTTGGTGATTCTAGCCCACCAGTTACTCCCCAGAAGAAAGATGTGGCAGTCTGCTTCCATAAAGATTTATGACCTTGGAATCCCTAGCAGGCAGTTCTACTCTGTTATGCAGGGTGGCTATGAGTCAGAATCAATTTAGCAGAGGTGACTTTGGGTTTGGGTCTTCAAAGACATGTTTTGGAAATGTATGCCCTAGAAAACACACACTGAAAACACTATGGTATAGTTTCTTGAATGGTTGAGATTATAGTGGTAACACTGTATCACTTTGCTATTTAAAAATATAGTATTTGATACAGAAGTCATGTGTATGGATTGCGATCATGATATCTTATATAATTATCTAAATCCTACAATTAGTTTAATACAGCTTCATTTAAAAATAAATTGTTACAAACATTTCACTGCTTTGGGAATCACAAAAATTTCATTCATAGTTTTCTAATTTGATTCTTTAATTTATTTACTCCATAAAGACTCACCTGCCTACACAAATTGAAGTATCCATAGGGCACAATTTGAAGACATTTTAGTATCTGTATATAGTGCATATAATAAATCCAATTAAACATTATTTGATACATATTTAACTTTTTTGGCTGTAGGTATTTCAGTCATAAGTAAGCATTTTCTAATGTCCATTATATCCCTTTAGATATTACTTAAACCAATATTATAAGTAGATAACATGTATTAGTATTTTTGTCTGTATGTCCTAGCACTGTTCAACAACTTTTTCTAGTTCTTGTTAATTTTTATTTGTTATACAATGGAAGCACAATGTTATAAGGAAAGGTAATTTTAAGCTAACAACCAGTGCACAGCCTCAGGTTTTAAATTACAACCACAGTTGAATAATAACCTAAAATAAACTCTTAGTTTGCTAAAAATTTACAAGTTTTAATTTGGCAGTTCCAGAGCTGCTTACCTATGTTGGTTTGCCAAAAAGAAGTGTTAAAGATATGTTTTCTGTACAAATGAACTAATTCTTTATATTAAATTCCTGTCTATGCATTTTGTGAGGTACAAACTTATGAAACAGTGAGTGATAGAGAATTTCTGCCATGCTTTTAACTCCAAAGTAAAAGTCTCTTTCTCTGAATTATTTCTGAAATTTTGGAGTATTTAAACATTAAGAAATGCTGTATTCTTTAATATGCGACAGAGTCAAACTAAAGTTTTATTATTTCATCTAGTAAAATAAAATACTGCTAGATTAATTCTCATGAAATTTATTATACACTAAAGAATAAAAACTCCAGATAGATAAAATTATTTCCCATTAGCAAACAGTGCACCTTTAAGATGAAATCAAATACGACTCTTTGATAGCTATATTGTGATGTCTAAAAGCATGATGGCCTTTGGTTTTACAAATAGTATCTTGGAATTTATTTTGGGGGTATGAGAATGGTTGAGTATGACATCATGTATTAATATAAAATGAAAGACAAGGGTGCTGTATCTTAGACTATTTATCAGAAAAAGTATAAATCTTTTAAGGACAACGTTAGAATTCTTAAATTGTTTTTTGTTGAAGCATTTATCTTGTTGATTTCTTACAAAGAAAAAGGACGATGTCAGTCAAGCAGCACTTTTTCAGAATATACAGAACATAAATAATATGATGTGGTTGAGTGTTAACATAATAAATCATATACAGTATGACATTTTAAGGAAATAAGTCTGCATTGATGTGATTGCATGCTTGTTTTTACAGTTCACTCCATACCATCTGTGGAAAAATGCAATAATATGTTAATATAGTATGGTAGTTTGAGAGAATCAGGTAGGTGCTACTAGACACATTGAAACTAGAATAGGTTTATAAACTGTTCATATCTTTCAATGCATAATCTTTAGAAAGACTTCACAAAGCAAAATTCATCCTGTTAGTAAAAAAAAAAAAAAAAGGAAAGGTTCTTATTACAAAAATATGTTGTATAATCTGCATCATCAATTGCTATTTAAGGCCTAATTTCAGGATGTACTTGCAAAATCGCTCCTCTTCATCAATGCTGTGTTTACATCACTCTTCATTTCGTCTATATTCTACTTCACTCCAACAACTAAATTGTTGCTTAAATAAGTCAAACCTTATTTATAGCACTGTAATATTAGAAATCCAAAATTGGGTCCATTTCAAGATTTATGATTCTTTTAACCCTTCGGATTTACAAAGAGACTTAGAACACATACAAAAAAGTCTAACTGGAATGTTATAAATTGTGGGCTCTAATAAAATGCTTCAACAGTTAAATATAGGTCAATTTGAGTTAGGTTATAAATTTCTGTTTCTTAACACAAAACAAACAAAAGCACCTAGCAATGAAATTAGATTTTATCTTTAAGATTTATTTTATTTTCACTCTATAAGAAAATAAACTATAAAGCTCTTCTCAGTTCAATTTCTGCAAATCATAATAATACATTAAATAAAATTTCTTAATGGGAACTATGTTAATTGCAATGTCTGATAGGTGCAAAAATGTATGCATGCTCATAGATCCAGATTTTATCTTTGCTAAATGAACAAAGTAGCCACAGAACTCAATGGAAGAAGTACACTAGCACAGACATCCCAGTAGAATATGGAATATTATTCTTTATCAAAAGCAGCTATCTCTGCCAGTGTATTCAGTATACGATTTACGGTGTAAGTTGACTGTCCTCCATAAAAAAAAAAAAAAAAAAAAAAAAGTTAACAGCATTCTACTTTTCTTTTTTTCCATTTTGAGTGTCCTAGATTAATTGTCAAAATCAGGAAGAAAAAGAAAAGTTTATGAGAGCAAGAGCAATGATAGAGAGCATGATCAAAATACTGTGAGTGTGTACGTGTGTGTGTGTGTGTGTGTGTGTGTGCAAGAGAGAGAGCTTGAGAGAGAGAAAGAAAGATTTCAGCTTGTTTATGTTTACCAGAAAATCCAAGAAGCAGTTTAAGGAACCTAGTACTGGAATTTAATCTAGAAATAAATGATTCAGTATGGTTAGTCTTGCATTGAAATCCCAACAAAATAACAGAAAGAGAAAGAAAAGTAACTCCTAAATATGGCAAAGAAGCCAACATTTCATTTATCTTTATTTCTTTGTAAAAATATAAATATTTGAATTATATGAAAGGACAAGCTCACTTGTAATTATGTACTCATGATTGTAACAGCACTGACATTCCATATACACACGTGTACAGCAGCTCTTTGACAATGATGGCTCTTCCATGTAACATAGCAGTTATCGTGTAATTTAGTGCCACTTATTGCAAAGTGTTACCAAGGGGAACATTGAAAATTTAAATTTCCTTTTTTTGGACATAAACATAAAATGGATGATAAATACAGAGTTTCACATTAAATATTTGAATTGTGAAGAAAATGCACACCTCATATCTTGAACTGCAACTTTCCCTTCATATTACTAACTCCTTTGAGCACTCTAAAAATGACTAACATTATTGCCCTTTGCAAATAGTAATCTGTGATGAATATACCAAAAAAAAAAAAAAAAAAAAATTAAGGCAAAATAATCCAGAAATCACAGCCAAAATAAATGGAAATCCTAATTAAAATTGCTAGTATGTAATGCTTTTTATTAAGTGGCACAAAGTACACACTAAAAACTATGCAAAAATATAGGTAACTACAGTGTACTTACATGTAAGTATCTTGTACTTGCTGTGTATGGATGTTGGAAACCCATGTAATTATAATATGCATTTTGAATTTTGGGAAAGAGGAAAGCCTAGTGTAGATATAAGAATTTGTTTTGAAATATATGCTGGCAATATTGAAATATACTCAGTGCAATATCAGCAATTTTATTGCTGAGATACTTAATGCAAAGGGGTTTTAAAAAATTCTTCTACAAAATCCAAGAGGTTGCTAATCTTCACTTCCCACATACTAAAATATTGTTTAAAATACAACTTGGTCAATGACAAGATAATTTACATACATATACTAGAGAAAACATAACTTGAGTTATAAACTTTAATGCATATCCAGTTTAATTTGGAATTCTAAAACTCTTGATTATTTTTCATTTCTTCATTGGATTGTGTTACTTTTATTGTAAGTTCAAACTACTTCAATCAAATAATGAAGGAAACCTTTACTAAGGTTAGGGAAGCTCACATTTTAAAAGAAAATTTTCTGTCTTCTGTTTTTCTATTCATTTTATTTCCCTTCTCTCCTAGTCTACCCCAAATATACCCTTTGCACTTATACCCTTCCAAAGGCAATGGATTGAAAGTAGCAAGATATTCAGAAAGCTGAAGGGGACAAAATATATGAATGGGTTCTGAACTCATTTGATTAGCATTTTTGTGTATCAAGATTATTAATATTGAATGCAATAGTTATTGGATATAGCTGGTAAGTTCTCTGCCATGCACACTTACAATAATCCTTCTACCTCTCACTTTTAACATGGGCTATGATACTTCAATATAAATAGAGGAAATAATTATTTACAAGATATCCCAGGCAGCATTCTTTTGGGTCTA